TTTGTTTCTTTGCTGTGGAGTTTAATAAGTTCTTTATAGATCTTAGAAACTAGCCCTTTATCTAATATGTCATTTGCAAATATCTTCTCCCATTCTGTAGGTTGTCTTTGAGTTTTGTTGACTGTATCCTTTGCTGTGCAAAAGCTTCTTATCTTGATGAAGTCCCAATAGTTCATTTTTGCTTTTGTTGCTTTTGCCTTCGTGGATGTATCTTGCAAGAAGTTACTGTGGCCGACTTCAAAAAGGGTGTTGCCTGTGTTCTCCTCTAGGATTTTGATGGAATCTTGTCTCACATTTAGATCTTTCATCCATTTTGAGCTTATCTTTGTGTATGGTGCAAGAGAGTGGTCTAGTTTCATTCTTCTGCATGTGGATGTCCAATTTTCCCAGCACCATTTATTGAAGAGACTGTCTTTCTTCCAGTGGATAGTCTGTCCTCCTTTATCAAATATAGTTGACCAAAAAGTTGAGGGTCCACTTCTGGGTTCTCTATTGTGTTCCATTGATCTATGTGTCTGTTTTTGTGCCAGTACCACACTGTCTTGAAGACCACAGCTCTGTATTAGAACCCAAGAAATCTCACAGAGGTAGACATAGACATGGCCAACAAGCACATGAGAAAATGCTCTGCATCCCTTGCCATCAGGGCAATACAAATCAAAACCACAATGAGATACCACCTCACACCAGTGAGAATGGGGAAAATTAACAAGACAAGAAACCACAAATGTTGGAGAGGATGCGGAGAAAGGGGAACCCTCTTACACTGTTGGTGGGAATGTGAAATGGTGCAGCCACTCTGGAAAACTGTGTGGAGGTTCCTCAATGAGGTAAAAATAGACCTGCCCTACGACCAGCAATTGCACTGCTGGGGATTTACCTCAAAGATGCAGATACAATGAAACGCTGGGACACCTGCACCCCGATGTTTCTAGTAGCCATGTCCACAATAGCCAAACTGTGGAAGGAGCCTCGGTGTCCATCAAAAGAAGAATGGATAAAGAAGATGTGGTTTATGTGTACAATGGAATATTACTCAGCCATTAAAAATGACAGATACCCACCATTTCCTTCAACGTGGATGGAACTGGAGGGTATTATGCTGAGTGAAATGAGTCAATCGGATAAGGACAAACATTATATGGTCTCATTCATTTGGGGAATATAAATAATAGTGAAAGGGAATAGAAGGGAAGGGAGAAGAAATGGGTAGGAAATATCAGAAAGGGAGACAGAACATGAAGACTCCTAACTCTGGGAAATGAACTAGGGGTGGTAGAAGGGGAGGAGGGTGGGGGGTGGGGGTGACTGGGTGGCAGGCACTGAGGGGGGCATTTGACGGGATGAGCACTGGGTGTTATTCTGTATATTGGCAAATTCAACACCAATAAAAATAAATTTATTTAAAAAAAAAGAAATGAAAGGAGAAATAACAAACAACACCACAAAAATATAAAGGATTTTAAGAGAATATTATGAGAAAATTATATGCAAACTAATTGGACAACCTAGAAGAAATGGATAAATTCCTAGAAACATATAACCTCTCAAAGCTGAGTTGGGAAAAAACAAAAAATTTGAACAGACTGTGTATCAGAAATGAAATCAAATCAGTAATCAAAAAACTCCCAAAAAACAAAAGTCCAGGACCAGATGGCTTCACAGGTAAATTTTACCAAACATTTAGGGACGCCTAGGTGGTTCAGCAGTTGATCATCTACCTTCAGGTCGTGATCCCGGAGTCCTGGGATCGAGGCCCACATCGGGCTCCTTGTGTAGAGCTTGCTTCTCCTTCTGCCTGTATCTCTTCCTCTGTCTTTCTCTGTCATGGATAAATAAATAAAATCCTTAAAAAATGTTTTTACCAAACATGTAAAGAAGTGTTAACACCTACTTTTCTCAAACTACTTCAAAAAACAAAGAATGAAAGCTTCTATGTATTCTATGAAGGCAGCATTACCCTGATACCAAAACCAGATAAAGACACTACAGAGAGAGAGAGAGAGAGAACTACAAGCCAATATCTCTGATGAATGTACATGCAAAAATCCTCAACAAAGTATTAGCCAACCAAATCCACCAATACATTAAAAAAGTCATTTACCATGATCAAGTGGGATTTATTCTTAGTATGCAAATGTGATTCAATATTCACAAATCCATTAACATCATACATCTCATCAACAAGAGAAGGGTAAAAAACCATGATCATTTTAATAGACTCCGAAAAGCATTTAAAAGTACAACATCCATTCATGATACAAACTCAACAAAGTAGGTTTAGAGGGAACATACCTCAGTAGAATGAAGACCCTATGTGAAAAAACTACAGGTAATATCATACTCAATGGTGAAAAAGTGAGAGCCTTTCCCCAAGATCAAGAACAAAACAAGGATTTCCACTCTCACTACTTTTATTCAGCATAGTACTGGAAGTCCTAGCCCCAGCAATCAGACAAGAAAAAGCAATAAATGGCATCCAAATGGGTAAGGAAGAGGTAAAACTTTAACTATTTGCAGGTGCCATGATACTATATGTAGAAAAGCCTCAGGATTCTACCAGAAATGGACTAGAACTGATAAACGAGTTCAGGAAAGTCACAGGATACAAACCAATATACAGATATCCACTGCATTTCTATACACTAATAATGAAGAGCAAAAAGAGAAATTAAGAAACAGTCCCATTAACAATTGTACCAAAAATAATAAGATACCTAGAAATAAACTTAAACAAGGAAGTGAAAGACATATGTATATATATAAAAACTATAAAACATTGGTGAAAAAAAATGAAGACGACACAAATGGAAAAATATTCCATGCTTATTGATGAGAGAACAAGTATTAATAAAATGTTCCATACTCAAAATAATGTACAGATTTGATGGAATCCCTATCAAAGTACCAATAGTATTTTTCACAGACCTAAAACAAGTAACTCCTAAGCATGCATGGAACCACAAAAGACCCCAAATAGCCAAAGCAATCTTGAAAAAGAAAAAAACTGGAGGTATCACAGTCCCGGATTTCAAGATATATTACAAAGCTGTAATAATCAAAACAGTATGGTATTAAAAAAATGGACAATAGATCAATAATACGGTATTATGGGCATAAAGATCACCTTACAGTATGTCTTCTATTTGATATTTAGGGTGAAAACATAGGTGTTCGGTGAAATAGATGAAAACAGACCCGGGCGGCCCGGGTGGCTCAGCGGTTTAGCACTGCCTTCAGCCCAGGGCATGATCCTGGAGGCCCGGGATGGAGTCCCACGTCGGGCTCCCTGCATGGAGCCTGCTTCTCCCTCTGCCTGTGTCTCTGCCTCTCTCTCTCTCTCTCTCTCTTTCTCTCTCTCTCTCTCTCATTCTGTCTCTCTCATGAATAAATACATAAATAAAGTCTTTAAAAAAAGAAAACAGACCCTATCATTATTATTCTATTTAGAGCTCATTCATCAAATTAAAATAACTCACAATGGTATTATGGAAGAAATTAAGCTTTAGCTATTACTGCAAAGGTAACTGTGACATGGTAAAAGAAAGCTCCCTTTATCTTTCTCAGACAAACTTTTCTCTCCTTTGCTTTACTACAAGGAGAAGATACTATCAAACACTGTATCCTTCTCAATTAATTCCTTAAAACCAGTGACTCACAATCCTGGTTACATGTAAGAATCACCCAAAGAGCTTTTTCCAGATCTGAAGAATCAGAACCTCTGGGGGAGGCAGTTTCAGAATGAGTGCCTGAAAAGCCTCCCAAGTGAGTCTGATGCATATCAGAATTGATCAACTGGACGAGATTCTAAAAGGAGAGGAGTTTTCCTGGCCTCTAAATCTCTAACCTCTCTGAAGGGAGACGCAGAGAATGGGACATAATCTGAGTTTGGGGAAGGTGCAGAGAGAAGTCTGCCTATATTTTTTACCTGAAATAGATTATTTTTTTACCTGAAATAGATTTTGACAGGTGCTTGATGGGAGGCCAGAAAGTGTTGCCCAATGAGCCTCCATGGTTCTAAATACAGTCAAGCATGGCCAGAGACTAGCACTTGTCCTTTAAAAGTGGTGAGAAGGGGCGCCTGGTGGCTTACTTGGTTAAGTTTCCTGACTCTTGATTTCGGCTCAGGGTTAGGATCTCAGCGTCATGAGACAGAGCCTCAGGTCAGACTCCACACTCAGCACCATTTGTGCTGCTTCCTCTCTCTCTCTCTCTCTCTCTCTCTCTGCCCCCCACATCTTGTGCACATGCACTGTCTCTTTATTTCTCTCTCTCTCTCTCAAATACATGAAATATTTTTAAAAAATAAATAAAAGTGGTGAGAAGCCTGGAGGCCACTATCTACATGCCACCTCTGTGTTAGTTTGGTTTTAAGATGAGAAGCCTTAATAAAGTCTAAAGTGGACTACCAGGACTTGTGCTCTCACCTCTACCTAATTTACAGGCTGATTTCACTCTCCTGTACCTTCTGCCTGTGTCTCCAATCCAGCAAAGTCTTCCATGTTTCTGAAACATCAGTTAGTCACATTCTGTCCCTTCAACTGACAAATGTATCTTCCCTCCCTTCCCCCTTCCTTCCTCTTTCTCTCTTCTATGTAATCCCAAGTTATTCTTTAAAGGTCATTTCAAATGAGCTCGTCAAAGAAGCCTTCCTCTCTCTCCATAATTGAAATCAGGTGTCAAGTCCCTCTCTAAATTTCTCATCTCACTCTTTAACTTTCCTCTGCAGTACTTTCCAGAGGCTGTGTTAGGCAGTTCTTGATGGCATTCTCTGTTTAATATCTGTCTTCCCCCCTCCTCACTTAAATCCTGGTTTTGTGAGACTTGGGCCTGGCTCCCTGTTGCCCAGACCTATCAAGTGCCTTTCTCCTAGTACAGGTTCAAACACTATCTGTTGAATGAATAAAGTAAATAAGAGAAAGACTATTTTATGTCATGCCTTTTTCCCTGTCCATCCCTGCCAGAAAACTATTTCATTCACTTGTTCAATACAGAATTTTTTGATTCCTCTGATGTGGCAATGTTTGTGAGAATTTAATGGTAAATCAGACATAGACTCTTTCCTGGAGGTCCATGGAGTCTAGTGGGGAATAAAAGATAGGTTTTCACGTGCCTGTTACAGGAGCCTGTAAGGGAAACCACAAACTGTGTCTGTAGGATCAAATTTCAGTCCTCCACAGTTGTCAAAGAAAGACACTGCACATATGGGAAGAGTGGGGGAGGGGCCCTCACAGGAAGCTGCATGACCTCCTGAGTCAGCTGGATTTGAATCCTTCATGTTACGTCCCGGCTGCTCGGATTCAGAGTCCAACCTGTATGCGCAGGAGCCTCCTCATCTGTAAAACCATCAGTTTCCTAGTGGAAAGGGAACACTGTCTTCATGTAACATGTTTTTAACAGGCTCCTGTAGGTGCTGTGACACTGAAGGAGTCGAGGTGGCAAATCATTTCCCATTTGGGAAATGCAAGTGAAATCCACAGTGAGATATCACACTACACAGCTATCAGAATAGCTAAAATAAAAAATGACAACACCAAATGCTCGTGTGGATGAGGGGAAACTGAATGACTCATACAGTACTGGGGAGAATGTGAAACGGCACAGCCATTCTGGAAAACAGTTGGACAGTTCCTAAGAAATAAAAAATAAAACTACAAACAAACAAACAAACATAGCTAGCATATGACCTGGCTCTTCCCGTCCTGGGCATTTAGCCCAGAGAAGTGAAGACTTCACGCTGACACCGAAACCTGCACGCAGATGTTTATAGTAGCTTTCTTAGTGACAGCCAAAAGCTGCAGACACTTCGAACTCCTTCAACAGGTAGTTAAGCAAACTGTGATACATCCATATCATGATGTACTACTAAGGGACACAAAGCAATGAACTGTGAATACTTGCAGCCGTCCAGATGAATCTCCAGTTACCTCAAATGGGAAAAAGCAAATCCCCGAATGTCATAAACTATGTGATCCCCTCTGTATAACATTCTTGAAATGGCAACATTATACACATGGAGAACAGCTTTTGTGATTGCCAGGGAGTAAAGAGGTGGTGGAGGGGGGAAGAAATTTGTGTGGTTGTAAACGGGGAATAGGAAGGACCCTGGTGGTGATGGAAGTGTCTCTGGAAGACTCCATCTGTAAAAAAACGGATGTCATCTCTCTGTGTTATTTCTTATAGCTGCAAATGAATCTACAGTTATCTCAAAAGAAAATGATTACTTTTAAAAAATCAAAACTTGGAGGCCAAGATAGGGAAACCGGTATGTCAGTTTGGCAGTTACGACATGAGCTTTGAATCTGTGACATCACAATGGCAGTGACCGCGGACCGCTGCAGAATCTTCAGGCTTCAAGCATTTGACAGTACTCTGCCAAGTGCTGTAGACTCCCTGGATTTCCCGTCCCGCGAATTGAAGAGAAAAGGATGTTCCCATCAATCAGAAAGCACGCTGAGCTTGCAGGCGCTCACCCAAGGCTTCAGCGCCCGAGGTAGTCTTCTGATACACTGTTTCTGACCATCCAAACAGCCCGGCAACAACAGGGACTGTCGTTTTCTTTTGTTTCCTCTAATACATAGAAACTAATTAGTAACTTCAGCACCAGCTTCCTGAAAAGCTGCTCCTGTTCACAAGATTCAGTGCTGCTGAGCAGAAGGGAGCAGGATTTATACATCCTTGGGGGAGGCGGAGACACTTTCTTGGCTCCAGCAGAGAGCCAACTCTCTCTCTCCATGAGACAGAATTTTCAGCGGGTCTATGAAAATACCTGTCCTAGTTATGAAAGAATTTTTACATTCTGTTCAATTGAGTTGTTTTACCTATTTTGACCAGGAAGTCCTGTCAGACCTCAGCCAAGTAATGGCTAAACTCTTGTGTTCAGAAACTTTCTGAGGTTTCCAGTATTTTTGCTGATCTTTGAGAATTTTTACCCCAATTTTGAATATTGAATTAGATAAGATGGGGGTCAATTTCCAGGATCTTCAGTTATCTTCATTTTTATCTTAACATAAAAGCAAATTGTAATTGATTCTTCACACATTGTTTTATTTTATATTAGGCCACAATTTGTCCTGTTTGTTGTTGTTCATTCAGCTTCTTGTAATCTGCTCTACCTTTGACTTCTTGGCTCTCGCCTACCTAATGGCTCATGATTAGCTTTGCTGCTTTCTCCACCACACCTCTAAGTGTTGGCATGCCCAAGGGCTTCGTCCTTGAAACTGTCCTCCCTCTACATCAGTTCCCCAAGTGACCTCACCTCTTTCTATAGCTTTCTGTAACTCAGGGATCCCTGATTCTGAGCTCTGGAGCTCTGCTTTGGGGGTTGAGACTACATTTCAGTGTTGTGTGAACCTTGAAACTTGGCATTAAACTATATTGTGTTTGACCAGTAACTAGCTGCTCTGTGTTTGATGTGTTGCAGGAATAGCTCGACTGTGGAGGTGGACACCCACAGCAAAAGCACTACATCATCTGAGGGTGCCACTCGTACCTTGCTCATCCATGGCCCCGTTGAGCTCAAGAAAGGCTGGAGGAGGCAGAAGTGGCAGCTTTTCTTGTACAGAGATTTATTACTGATGTCTAATACCAAGTAGGTGTACCATGTTTCGTGCTCTTGTGATTCTCAAAAAAATTGCATTCCCATTAACCCTTACTATACGAAAACATTACATTTTTTTCCCTTTTGTGTTTGCCAATGCTTGAATCCTTCATTCCATGAGTACTTCTGGAGGTCTTGTTTTGTGTCATGTCCCTGCAGCAAATACAGTTGACAATGTGACAGGCCAATGTCTCTCCTGCCTGGGACTTACAAATGATAAAATAAGAGGGGGAATGATAATGATTAGTGCTGCTGATAGAAGGTGGATAGGGGGCTGTGCGGAGAGGGTGGGAATGTGTTAGAGAGGAATAGTCTAGGAGGGCCTTCTGAAGTGGAGCATTAAAACCAAATCTATGAGAGGAGAAGCAGCCACATTCCCAGACAATGTGCCTGAGCCATCGAGGCACAGGCCTATGTGGGTACAATCTGACCCCTCAGAGAGAGGGGCTCAGGGAAGCTAGAGCGTGGGCCATGCTATCAGATATGATAACCTCAGAAAGTTTCTGAACACAAGAGTTTAGCTATTACTTGGCTGAGCTCTGACTGGAGCCTAGAGCATGGGCCATGCTATCAGATATGATACTGTGCTCAGGGGTCTAGTCACACAGGGTCTTCACAGGCCATGGTAAAAAATGTGGAAATATTTTGCTGAAGGAGTTTTAACTAGGGGACTGACCAAATCTGATTTATATTTCTAGCAAATTTTTCTGACAGTTGGTAGATAATAGATGGATGGGTAAGCAAGAGTGGAAGCAGGGGGAGTAGTTAGGGGAGGCAATAGTCCTGATGGATGGTATCAGGTCTCTATCTTAGCAGCTTAGTAAAAAGGAAAGATGGAGCAGGGTAGCCCAGGTGGCTCAGCGGTTTAGCACCACCTTTAGCCCAGGATGTGATCCTGGAGACCCAGGATCGAGTCCCACGTCAGGCTATCTGCTGGGGGCTTCTCCCTCTGCCTGTGTCTCTGCCTCTCTCTCTCTCACTCTCTCTGTGTCTATCATAAACAAATAAATAAATTTTTTTTTTAAAAAAGAATAGACTATGACCCCTGCTCCCAACATTTGTAAGAAAATGCCTCTATCTTAGAACAGAGGAAATCTCCCTAGAATCCTGCAAATCTCCACAGTTCACTGGGGCTTACTTTCTGGCATAAAGGTTAAGGTAGTGGAAAGCAAGAAGGACATTCATCATGTTAATTCAACTATAGTAAAGGACTGTAGTTTAGAAATAAAAACTGCAGTTTTCCTCCTCTTCCTTCTTGAGTCAGTTTACAGTAGATTAACACTTTCTAATTTCTGCTGAGATAATCCAATTGGGTCAGTGATTGAGAGTAAAGAAACACAGTAAGACCTTAGAAGAATCTAGTGAAGTATAAAGCTTTGTTGTAACACATTTTAAAGATTTCCAAGCTAGCAACTGTCTTTATTAATATAATGCCTTGAGATTTATCTTCTCACTCCCAAGATAAATCCCATGAGAAAGCCTGATGGCTCTGGGGACAGAAATGAGGCTGAGGGTAGGAAAGATGAAAAGGTTACTTCACGGTCAAGTGGTTACAAACATGGGCTTATGAGTTAGGCTGTCCGGGTTCAAACCCCGTCTCCTGCATTTGACAATTTATTTAAACTTTCTGTGAGTTTCCTTATTTGTAAAATGGAGCTAATAGAGACCATCTAGTGTAGTTGCTTGAGGATTAAATTTTTTATATTTATATTTATAAAATATTTAGAACAGAGCTTGGCATATGATAAGTGTTCAAAACGTTATAGGAGAGTAGAAACCACACACTGGGCTCTAGGATAATTCCTTGGTTCAACTAATCCTGGTGCTTTATTGAACTAAGGTTATTGGATGGCTTTTTTCAGGTCAATGTATTTGGAAGTTTCCACACAGGATCTTAGGTGTCTGTATATACACAGATACCTATATTAGAAAGAAAAAAATCTGTAAAATCAAGCAGATACCTGTCTATCATTCCCGTTGGCCATATATTTTTGATGTGACAATGCCTTTGGAATTACCATCTAGAAAAATAATTTTATCTGTTAATTGATTATGCTCCATAAAAATCTTCAAGCACACAGATACAGGCACTTGGATGTAATGTTGAAAAAAATGTTGAAATAAAAATATGTGGAAAGATGTTGGTATCCATCATATTTATATTCATTCTGTCCTAAGCTTTGAATCTAGATTATACTTCAAGTGGGCTTCCTAAAAGATTATTTTTATTTCATAAATCCCATTGAAGAGCTTTAGCTTTAATTGTTCCATGAATCAGTGGAGTCATGGGGATTTTTGCACATGAGGTGTCTTTCATCTCAGTTTAGTTCAGTGTTTTCCACATGTGTTTCTGAATAGTAAGGAGTTCCAGAGTGGAGGATCCAAGTTCCCCAGGCATCCCTTATAGGACTTGTAACTATTTAAATCTTAAGCCCACCTGCAAGCCAAAGTTGTGAATTAATCAAATTAATTAATTAATCAACCAAAATAAATCAATGGTGGTTTTCATCTTTGAGGTCAAAGATTAGGCAGAAATTATCAAAAAGTCGTTTCACCCCTTCTGACTCCTCAGAGAAATGGCAAGTATCCATGTCTTACATATAAGACCTCCGGACCACTGATCTGGGATGGATGGATGGATGGATGGATGGATGGATGGATGGATGATTTTTCAGTTGGGCTCAGTCTGTAGGCTAACAGTTTTTTCGTTTTAGCCAGAATCTAAGGGAAAATGGTATGGACAAAATTTTAAGAAGGGAAATTGAAAATAACCTATGCTTTAAAGGCTAGAAAATATTTTTTTTAATTAAGGTTGAAAGTACCTTTTAAATCTTTCTGATTTAAAAAGCTTATTTTTTTTTGTTTTGACTTCATCTCTCTCCCTCTCACTCTTTAAAAGATTCATTTATTTTAGAGAGAGAGAGCAAGCATGAGTGGGGGGAGGGGCAGAGGGAGAGGAGGCAGAAGTGGCAGCTTTTCTTGTACAGAGATTTATTACTGATGTCGAATACCAAGTAGGTGTACCATGTTTCGTGCTCTTGTGATTCTCAAAAAAATTGCATTCCCATTAACCCTTACTATACGAAAACATTACATTTTTTTCCCTTTTGTGTTTGCCAGTGCTTGAATCCTTCATTCCATGAGTACTTCTGGAGGTCTTGTTTTGTGTCATGTCCCTGCAGCAAATACAGTTGACAATGTGACAGGCCAATGTCTCTCCTGCCTGGGACTTACAAATGATAAAATAAGAGGGGGAATGATAATGATTAGTGCTGCTGATAGAAGGTGGATAGGGGGCTGTGCGGAGAGGGTGGGAATGTGTTAGAGAGGAATAGTCTAGGCTTCTCTGAGGTGGAGCATTAAAACCAAATCTATGAGAGGAGAAGCAGCCACATTCCCAGACAATGTGCCTGAGCCGTCGAGGCTGAGGGACTTGCAGGCCTACGTGGGTACAATCTGACCCCTCAGAGAGAGGGGCTCAGGGAAGCCTGATTTGACTAGAGCCCAGAGCATAGGCCATGCTATCAGATATGATACTATGCTCAGGGGTCTAGTCACACAGGGTCTTCACAGGCCATGGTAAAAAAGTGGAAATATTTTGCCAAAGGATTTTTAACTAGGGGACTGACCAAATCTGATTTATATTTCTAGCAAATTTTTCTGACAGTTGGTAGATAATAGATGGATGGGTAAGCAAGAGTGGAAGCAGGGGGAGTAGTTAGGGGAGGCCATAGTCCTGATGGATGGTATCAGGGCTCTATCATAGCAGTTTAGTAAAAAGGAAAGATGGAGCAGGTTAGCCCGGGTGGCTCAGGGGTTTAGCTTCACCTTTAGCTCAGGGAGTGATCCTGGAGACCCAGGATTGAGTCCCACATCAGGCTCTCTGCAGGGAGCCTGCTTCTCCCTCTGCCTGTGTCTCTGCTTCCCTCTCTCTCCTCTCTGTGTTTCTCATGAATAAATAAATAAATCTTAAAAAAAAAAAAGATGGAGCAGATAGATGGAATGTAGGAGAAAGAATCAACTGTGTGCACTTTCCTCTCAACCCTGAACACAAATGCATCGAATATCCAGTCTAGAACATGATGATTGCTCAATAAACGTCTGGGAGCAGGTCATGGAAGGTCACCTATTTACTTACTCCATCTCTGTTTGCATTATTCACAAAACATGGAAGACAAAGAACACTCCCACAAACAAAATATCAAGAAGATTTTTGGTCATGAGAAAAAACTAACTCCCTCTTTTTTTACTGCTTTCACCCTAGATCCCAGTTATGCCATGTCATAGGTAAGACATGCTAGTAATAATGTGGCAAAATGCTATACTCATCTGAGTTATATTAATAATAATTTATCAGGGGCTTACTACATGTCAGATATTATGCTAAAAAAACTTTATGTACCTAATTTTGTCCAACCTTACAACTACCCTGTGAGATGGGAGTATTTTCATTTTGGAGAACCTTGATGCTCAGAGGTCTAATGGATCTGCCCAGGTTTCCATATTAGTAATGGACAGAGTCTACATTTGAAATCAGGTCTATTTATTTCAAAGCACAGGCTTTTATTCACTATGTGGTGCTACCATTTCTCTTCTCTCTTTTTTCCTGAATTTCATACAACATTCCATGAACACCTAGATTCTTTCATTATTGAATTCAACCCTTCCTTTACATTGAGTGAACAACTAACTCCAATCTGCTTGGAAACAAATAGATCAGAATGCTTAGCGAATTGAAAAATGAAGGAAGTATAGCTATCAAAAAAATCAGAGGCAAAGATAGTAGTAAAATATATTTGAGACTAGGGAAATTGCCCATAGATGTAACCTTGAAGGTGGTGATGTCATAAGGAGGACAAAGAGAAAAAGAATGTCCAGGCCTTGGCATGAGGTCCATATGAAAGACTCTCTTCCTCTTGATAGAGGGCCCAGTCATTATTTTAAAAATGCAGACTAGTTACCATTCTCTTTATTTAACCAAGGTGAGTATG